TAACGTTCCGAGAGCAGATGGAGAACTGTCTCGTGAATCTGTATGGTCTTCTTCAGCAGGATCCTCCGGCTCCGTGTTCATCGCTTCCTCTAATTCAAGTTCGTCCCTGTCAGAATGCACTGACAGATCCAAAACATGGGTCTCTCTGGACGGTCTACTTAACTGTCTTCGTTTCGGTTCCTGCTCTTCATCGTCTGCAGCACAGCCGGAGTCCGAGTGAGTGGTGTCTTCCAGTCTGGCTTGTTTTTCAAGTGACGGTGATCCTCGACATAATGTTTCATCGATTACAAGACATTCGCTATTCTGATCATCAATGGTATAATTTATTAGCAGGCGTAAGGTGAGACTCTCCCTGTGTGGTATCATGTTAGCCAACGCAAGTATAAGACGCTGCTTTAGGCTGCTAGTCTCCTGAGGCATCTTGCGTCTGAGGTTTCTATGTCCAGACTTCGTTGTTTGCAGGGAGTCCGTTTGCGTTACCACTGGTTTCGTGAGTGATTGATTAGAGTTCATCGTTGGAGCCATGGTGCCTTCCCTACCGTCGGTAGCGAAAGAACTGGAACTGCTTACTTCCGGCTCTCTGATGGGAGTGGAGAGAAGGTGAGCTGAACTATCGACTGGTGAGGTAGGACAACTATGAGAATTTTCAGTCTGTCCGTTCACCTGAGCACCAGGATAACCGTTTCCATTGGGTATTGTCCTGTGTATCATTCTTTCATTGGTAGTGAGCTCTTTGTTCGGCGTTGAAGTTGTCATAGGTCCTGGATCCCGTCGTAACTCCGGATAACTCACCAACATTCCCCTGCGTTGCTCGGCTAGAAGAGAGAAAAGTAACGCTGGGATCAGGATAGATAAAAGTTACCGAATGCCTAGCGATAGTTAGAGTATACAGATAACAGATATAGCAATGTGTCTGAATACTGATATCTCTGGTAGGTGAATTGGTTGTTGATCAGGTGGCAGTTAATCTGTTCGTCGAGCTTAGCAGTTGGCTTACAAAAGTGTCGTCGCAATGCGAGAAGGCATCTTCAGTGCCAACACCACAGAGGAAAACCAAGCTCTTTGCAGACGTTCCATCGTTGTTGTGAATCCTGAGATAAATTGACCTCTATCGAGGATCTTGAAACCCATCACCCTTAAAGCTCATAGACATTCCACCATTCAGCTACCACTGACTATTAATGGTTTACTTGTGTCTTGTTAGAATATAACACCACTCATCCCTGATATCAGGTGTCTAGTGACTCCTTGACCAGAGGCCACTCACGAGGGAAACCCAGACTGCTAATGTTTTTCTGATCCGACAGATTGCACAGGAGTCCCCTGACAAGCTTACCCTCTCAATGAGACTACCACCTCACAACCAAGAATATTTTGGGACCTTTATGAGAGATCTGGCTCAAAACTATTGCATTCTGAGAGACCAGCCTCAACGCTTGACAAGAACTAACCTACATATCCTTCAGATACAAATGCTGCTTCCAATAAAGAACAGGACGTAAACTTGTATTTTCCGGTACCAAACAATGCATTTCAGCCAAATCTGTTTGGAAACCTCAAGACATCATTGTAATTCGCCTAATGCCATTTAAGGCCTCCTCCTTGTTAGAGACCACACGAAAGAGCCGACCATATCTGGTGCATCATGGCCATTCCCAAAAGGTAATGGACACCCCGAAAGATAAACTGAAAGTTGTCTGTTTTCAGAAGCAGTTTCTTTCAAGAGAATAAGTACATGTTAGAAAGTGTTGACCAAGGACTTGATCCAAAGTCTGTGCAAGCGACACTCTACCTGGAGAGTGTGTACGAACAACCACTCAGATGATGTCATCATGTTTGGCATACGTAGAAACTTTGTTAAGTTGTCGGTAATCAAGTAGATTTCTTCCCAGGAGTCCACAATGAACCACATCTCGAAAATGCTGTCATTCTGCTCCATTATGTGTCATCACCACAGTGTTCATCGCTCAGGAAAATCGCTTATCGGCTCACTGAAGGGACCATCCCAAGAGGCCATTCCAAAATGGACTCTTCCGCTTGGTCTTCTCTTCTAAGCTACAGTTTACTAATGAAGTACGCTTCAATGAACACTTGAATAGTGGACCCTCACAGGGGTTTGCGGCTGCTGAGTGTTGTCCATTGCACTTCGAACAAGCTTTATTTCGAAGACCACCTTTCTGAAGATCCGAGTTTTGCTCGGTCCCTCCGGAAAGCTGAACGACGTTTTCGGTGAGATTTTCCTCCACGAAGAATAAAAGTATGCATAACTGGCTGGCCTACTGGCTACCCAGTCCTTAGCCGAAGCCGTAAAACTTCCAGTCGTCAGCTGTCCCTTGTTGGTACGAAGCTGATTTTGCCCCATATGGCAACACTGGCAGGCTGCATCCCACTGTGCTGAGCATAATCAGGAGTTCCCAATCTGAAATGCCGTTTGAAATCGTTGCGCCTTGAAACCAGCCTTAACATGGATGGTTAAAAAAGCAGTACAGTGGGGGCAAGCTCAGCACACTTTTACATCCTTCAAAGATATTGGTGCCACTTAGCAGGATGGGTTCGCAAGCATGCAGTTTTCCATAGCATTCAAAACCGAGTGCCATTTGTATGCGCACAACAGGCCACTGTACGCACGGGCAAGTTACAGAGTACAAATTAGCCCAACCTTGTTTCAGTAACACCATTCGAGGAAGGAAATATGCTGTCATAAATAGGTTGAGGTGAGCAAGTACGTTCTGGTAGAAGTAAGTTCATTACGTTGAGTAATGATGGGTAAATCATCATCATCATGATGGGTAAAACGAGGTTATGAATTGTAGAGTCTTCATTAGGAGCAGCCCTACACTGCATATATCGGTCAGTCTGTCCGTTTTTTGTTGGTACTGAATATGGAGCAACTACAGTATGATGGCTACTGTCCGAATCGAGAAGCCTAAGAAAAAGCGTTGGAGAGAAGGAATTCAATTTGGACCTTATAAGTGCAAGTTCATCACTAACTCGGCAGTAACAATATGACTGTGGACATGAATCCCAGGTTAAGTTTGAGTGGTGTGTGACTAGGCTTTTTTACACCTTAGGAGCCAATGATGGGTCGACTTACGTACCGAAATCGCGTCGTCCAGGATGACCATCTGACCTTTGAAACGTGGGCTTTGTTCTATTTTCCTATATGTTGTGGGACTGATAGCCCCTTTTGAAGGCGGATCCGGCTAGTGGTGACCATACTCTGTCTTTTGATATGTGAGCATGTCCTCTCTATGGATGAGAGTTCATAGATATCTGGCAGGGAACACTCTACAAGAGTTTAGGCTCTCTTCAGGAGGGTGGTTATCAAGGGAACCAGTGTAACTCGTCCTCGAAAATGCTTAGCCTGTTCAACAGACATCACAGCAGCCTGTGTCAAGAGCTCCTATCCACTTCACCCCAAGTCCCCTCGGTCAAATGCCATATTCTAGCCTTTTACTCTCCTCTCCCTCTAGATTCACTCAAATCCAACAATACCATGATCAGACTGACTGAGTTTGCACTAGTATGATCCAATATCCCCGAAACATTGATGTTTCGCGACCCATTCTTGGAAAGCCATGTGACCGGTGACCCCCTAGATTTCTGATCAACTCATAACCCTGTTAGCTCAATATCACGGTGGCTCATCATTTGATGAACCTTTTAACTGTTTTATGTTCCCATCCACTTTATTGTAAACTTAAACACGAAACTTCACGGATTTCTCATTTCGGTTGCCAAGTGAATTCTTTGAGTAACCTTATTTAAAACAACCGGGTAGCCTCACCACCAATGTAGCATACAATTGCGGACATTGTTGACGATGTGTCTTATGGGCTAGATGTTGGACCTGGACACTGAGCACCATTTACCGGCCGTAAAATATTATGCGTGATTGTGTGGCTATAACAACTACAGCTTCACCTACAACTCTATTCAGTTAAAAGTGCCAAGGCTTAAGGAAAAACTTAAGGTTAGTTGTCACATAAATCAGAGACCAGGAGTCCACCGCCTTGCGGGGAAAGCCTGTAAGAAAATGATCAACCTATTTTTTTAATTCTACAGACTTCAAGGTATTCGCGGAAAGGAGACCGGGTGCTAAGTGCCTAATTCTCGGTTCTGCTGAATGATTTCTGTTTAGAGTAATAGAGGTGGGAGAACTCAAAGCACGGTTTGGTGTAATTAGGCATAAGAAATGATAGTTAGTTGTCCGTATGACACGAACACCTAACTGCTGTTCATACAGTACTGTTCCTTATGATGAGGATATAAACTGTTTGCACTGCTGATGTACTGCTGATTTTTCTTACAGGAGATCAGATCGATCGTCATTGAATAACCACACTACTCATACTCTTGTCTAAACTGCCTCACCACTATTTCTCCTGTTGTTAAATTTTCAAATAGGGTTTGCTACGTTCACCAACCCAACATCAGACTCAATTTGAACAATCAGGACAGAAAACAGGCTGCTCAAAACAGACTGGGAAGTGTAAAACATGTAGTTCCTTTTCAGTCAAGCAAGTAAAAAAAAACAACGTATGCATCGAATTTCAGTGTCATCTTGCAAAATCAGCTTGAAGTACCTACTTTCACACATCACAGTGTAAAAGTATATCACCTGTGCCTATCTCTGTTGCACGATGATTTACAAAATGGCTTAACCTAGCCTGCCCTAGCTACCATTCGCATCGTTTCCGCTTGACATGCAGCTAGGTAATACGCAGCGTAGGACCATATTGTTCACATCCTGATCCACAAGGAGTCCTTAAACCAAACAACTGTTGATAGATCCAAATAAAACCAACAGAGCAAAGGGGAAACGTGGTTCAAGTGTAGTACCGCCAGTTGTTGATCAGTGGTTGTTGATCTGTTCGCCAAACTTGGCAACTGACTAGCAAACGTCTCGTCACCATATGAAGAGACATTACCAGTGCGCAGTTGTTTGCATCAACCATTTGTCTATGGTAATGACCGTTCTTTCATTGAAAAAAGTTTGGATATACATTAAACCACAGCCACCCTCAAAAGCTTCACGATTCCTGGGAATATGTTAAGCACCCCTTGGGGGTTTTGACCCTCAGATTGGAAACTACGGAAATAGTCCAGTTAGAAATTGTTACGTACATATCTGGCGCATATCTGGCGACGATAGAAGGAATGTGAAATACACCATTGTCAAGGCTGGAAACAGGCTGACGGGTGCCCAAAAAAACTATGTGAAGTCAAAGATGCTGCCCTCTCAGCCTTCATCACTAAGGGGGGGGCGATCAAAACTAGGTCATCTGATGTGCGGTCCTGCTGAAGAAGGTGAGTGCCAAGTACAAGGCAACCACACTACTCTACCGAGAAGTTAGTGCTTTATCAATGTAAGAGGTAATGGGACCGAATTCTCCGCAGCATTCTGGGGATGTGCTGCTAACCATTCTGGATAAGTACGAAAACACTCGAATTTTACTGGAATACACTCATTTGCATACCAATTTGGTTTTGACGGGAAATTCACCTGGGACCCAGCTGTATCTCTCGGGGAGTTTTCAGCAACCTTATGAGTAGTGTATGACGTCTACAACCGACTTTTAATTATAGTGGAGCTTTCTCCGACAGGAAGAAATCCAAAATGAAATATCGCTAGTCAATTTTTATCTTGGGTAAGCTTTGAGCTTTCACGATAGCTTTCACTAGCTGACCAGTACTCAACGGAATCATTAGAAGTTTATTGTGAAGTACCTTTTTGATGAACTGCCTCACCGCTTACAATTGGCCTACAAAGTATTTTTGGTGGCAGATAAATTATC